GGCGGACCGTACCGGTCACATTTTCGTCTTCCTCCTTCTTTCCCAATGCCGGCCGACCGTGGCCACCTCCTTTGGGCCTTGAGTTGACGCTTTTGATGTCCCCCTCTTGTCCTCTTTCGTCAACTCCGAGCATGGCCGAGGCAGGGGCAGCGCACAACGCTAGACAATTCTTGTTGTGCATCTGGACCTGCCTGCCCGATATGGAAACCACGCCCTCCCCAAAGCAACGAATCTGTCGCACCGGTGAAAGAAGTGGATGCGCTCGAACAGAGACGTGCTTTTGCATGCCAGGCTGAGCCAGGGCAGAAAGGCGCCCGTTGCCCGTTCCCACCCAAAGGAGCTCTTCTATGGGATCAAATGCCAGCGCAGTGATAGGATAGCCATCACTTGGTACTCTGTGTGTTTCCATGTAAGTCCCATGGCCTTGTATGGTCGATACTTGGTCATCCTCGTAATCTGGAGGCGACTCCATGTGCATTTGGTGCCCTGGAGGGAAAAAAGAGGCACTCATGCCTTCCGCTGTAAAAGGCAGGTGGAGAGGGGGGAGGTTGGTATGCATAAGAAAAGATAAACCCGTAGAAAAACAATAAATGCAACGCAACATTCAAAATTCGGATTGTGTGCTCCTCGGACTTGGAACGCACATCTCAAATTTGTCCTGGAGGAGGCTACGCGAGGCGTCTGCAACTATGCAGGGCGCTCAGACGGGCAGAAAGCTCACATCTGCTCATCCTACGGCACTGCCCCTAGGCCAATGTCGCTAGTGGTCATAAAGCGTCGCTTTTCACACCGCGGCTGCCTTCTTGTAGGCCTTCCATTGCCCTTGGACGCCTTGAGATGTTCGACATGGACACCAGTGGACAATTGTATGCCGCCGTGTCCTGGCCGACGTTTGCATTGCTCCAAACAGACAGTGATGGTCGGGAGCCATCCATCCCCTCGCGCTTCTTCCCGGCCCTTTTCGCCGTTCGCATGTCTAATCGACCTCTGACCATGCCACGCTGTACTTTTTTACACTGACAGGTAGAAAAGGTAGCATCATCCTTCACCAGCAAATATGGTACGTGTGGTATCGGTGTAATCGATGGGGTGAAAAAGCCTGGGAGGGCTTGGAGCACGGCGAGGAGCCCGTGGGGTTCTGAAGGCCGTAGGGTCCATGAGCGTTTGGGTAGACTACATGAACGTCGTGCGGGCAGACGCATTCCTCCATCCGTCCTTGTATATTCAATCATTGACTTCCTCCATCAATTCTAATATGAATGTCGGTCTCCTACGTTCTTCTTAATCCTTCCCCGCTCGTGCAGCCCAAGGAGATCAAGGACATCCGCGACTTTCTTCAAAAGGCCCGAAGGCAAGTACTTAGGGATCTCAGATTTTATATTTACACCCCTTTTACTGGGAACCGGGCGTTTTTCCACGAGCTAGATCGTTGTGTATGTGTATTACCTGTTTCTCGGACCTAGCTCTAGCAGTGCCCAGCAGCTCATGGCGATCATCTTTATCTGTGCTTTCCCGCGGCTCTGCGTAGTTCGTTGTACATGCATATTTCAAACAATTCTGACATCGATTATGATGAAATACCATTATAGAAAGGATGCCAAGTCCGTGAAGGTGAAGAAGTCCAGCACAGGCACCAAGTTCAAGATCCGTTGCAGCAGGGTACGTGCGTGTTGCTGGGTTCTACTCTAAGCACCTGGAGAGTTCGCAATGTGTCGACCTGGGGATTGTATCTTTACGTGTCTTTATGGTCTTGATGCCATGCTTTACGGCCTGAGACTGAAAGATTTTTTTCGATGGTGGAAGCGATTCCCCGTCTCAGCGAAAAGACCTTCTGCTGATACCTCTTTTCACTGTGCGTGGAACAAACTGTATTCACGCCTTGCTAACGTCGATTCCATTCACAACAGTACTTGTATACGCTCTCGGTCTCAGATATCGACAAAGCCGAGAAGCTGACGCAATCCCTGCCTCCTGGTCTGCAGCGCAAGGACATCTAAGCGCGCCCGCCAAGAAATTCGCAGGATGGAAAATTACCCTCCCCTGTTTAGTTGGTTCTAACTACTGGATTGTCGATTGGATGCGCAGCAGTGCATGTGTGCCTGCGTGTGAGAGATAAAGGTGGTGTGGACACCAGGTACATGTGAAGTCCGACGTTAAACGGGGAAATTAGGGGCGGTATTCATCAGCGTTTTAAAGAATCAACATGGAAAAAAAGTTGAATGTTGCTGATATCTTTGATTTTACACGGCATTGGCTGAGCCATTTTCTGATTTTCTGGCGTTATTCACCATTTTTAGTGTCAGTTTCGGGGGGGCGAAACTTCAAATGGTTTTCAACGGGCTTAACGGTTTTCTCATCGGACGTTTTCTTGTGAGGCGTGTGCGAGAAAAAGAATTTTCTTGGAAGGGGCTCTTGACTGGAAAAGTACGTGCAACATGTTCTTTGGACAAAATTCTGGTATTAAAAAAGAAGATGCCTTTTGTGCTTCCTTTCTTTTCAATTGCTCGACCGTGGAGACCGCTGAAGCAAATATCCTTGACCTCCTGCTACTCATTCAGCTTCAAGTGTCGATACTGTATTCAAGAAAGATTGATATTTTTCATACCACACATAGAAATCTTCAGTCCATTTGCGGCTGCCGACTAAAAAATTCTAATTACATTTCAAAAAACCAAGGTACAACCACAACGCGATGTCTACTAGTGTAGCAACAGGAGTTCAGCAAACAATGGGGCAAGTGGGACAATATGTTGAGCGTGGAGTCAAGCAGCTGGTTCCCTCCGACATGGAGCACACGGTCGATGAGGGACAGGCTGCCCTTAAGCGCTACATGAACATGCCTTACTCTTTTACGATGGAGGGAGAAATCTGCAAAGCCCGCAACATTTGCAAAAATCTACGGGATTTCCCGGCGTATATTGACGGAAAACTTGTATCTTCTCAAATTCGGCAGGCTGATGCTGTGGTTTTTCTTACTAATGCCCGTGCTGGTATTTTCATGACTGGGCACATTGGGACCGGACTGGTTGTAGCGCGCAACCCGGATGGGAGCTGGTCGGCACCCTCGGCTATCGGGTATATTGGTACGGGATGGGGCCTTCAAGGCGGCGCAGATGTGACCGACTACGTTGTCATCCTGAAACGTCAGGCAGTAGACTCTTTCATCGGGAATAACCAACTTGTTTTGGGTGGCGATGTCGGTGCCACGTTTTGGATGGGACGGCACGGGACAGCTGAGTTGCACGTTGGAAAGCGAGTGGGTGTGGCAATGGGGTGGGCGGCAAGCAAAGGCTTCTTTGCCGGTGCTGCGGCCACGGCAGGTATCCTTCGCACTCGCAATGATGTAAACAAAAAGTTTTATGGTCGTCGAGTCGACCCAGGAGACCTTTTGCATGGGAAAATTGCCCGTCCTCGAGCGGCTAAGCCTCTGTACGACAGTTTGCAAGAGCTGCCATAAATAGTCTTGGACATGAAGATTGAGGGACGAGACGATGGCATGTGTGCGCGAGGACCGTACGCGGGTATTAAAGCTGCATGTCAACCCTTTTGAAACATGACATTTTTGGAATGACTATTACAAGGACACTCTGGCATCGGAAAACTATCGTAGTGACAGGTCAAAAATGTCGGCGAGGTGGTTAGGAAAATCAGTCCACTACAATGGCAATGCGCGGAATTAGAACCAGAAAGACAGTGGAAGCAAAAGTAGGGCATGTTTTACGCTAAGGCAGTGCTTGGGCTGATCAGCACAGATACGACTTACGTTGGATCTCACAAAAGACGAGCGTCAGGTTTTTCGAGTTCTTTCCATTTTCTACATCGAGAGCAGTTTCTCTTCGCGGCAACTTGATCAGGCTCAGAGAGGGATAGGGAATGTTGGATTCGATCTGCATGACTGCTAGCAAAGCGTCGAGTAATCTCTTTATGTGGAATTTCGTGTTTTCACGTTACTCCTCAGTTTGGCTTATGCTAGCTTGTGTAAATAATATTCTATCGTTCAAGCACAGCCAATCCCTAAATATCTCTCTGCATCATGAAACATGACACTGCTACCTACTGTTCAATCCCCGTCCTTTTCATTTTTTTCTCTTTGACTCCTCCTCACGCGGACATGACCGCTGCCTCCTTAATCATATCCTCCTTCGAGCTGGCCCTGGCCTTGATGGTCTTGGCGTCTCTCAGTATCTGATCTGCACACAAGAGCCCACTCTTTGTTGCCCCTTCCATGGAATCAATGTAGTCCTGATATGTATAGGAGCCAGCCAGGTAGAAGTTCTCCACGGGACTCTTCTGTTTGGGTCGGTATACATCCATCCCGGGGGCCTCGCGGTAGAGGGACTGGCCAAGCTTCACCACGTTGGTCCAGGTGCACTCCAAGCCACGCGCCGACGGGAACAGATCCAAAACTTGTTTTAATGTGGCCTCCGCGATCTTCTCCGTCGAGACGGGCATCCATTTGTCTCCCGGGGTCAGGACGCATTGCAACAACGACCCTTCCCCTTCCTTGTAATATTCCGCCGGGCTGGTCAACGCCAGGTCGGCAAAGCAAGAAAATTCCGCGTCCGCTGAGTAGAGGAGGTTGTCCAGGCCCGGAGCGCGCCCGTCGGAAAAGTCCCCATTGATTTCTTTCATCCGCACGGGGTCGTTGAGTTCCGTTACCCAGCCGTTGAATCGGAGTTGGACCTGTGCGAGGGTGATACCGACAGCGAGGAGAAATGTCAAGCACTAAGAAGGCACAGTGTTCCCTCAGGACAATGAACAGAGCAAACCACGGAGCCGTGGCTTTCCATGCGCGGTCCCCCCCTTAACCCCCCCATCGCCCGCTTCTCACCGTGGTGACGGGGACGGCTTCTAGGCGGTAGATGTTGTCGAACTCCTGGATTTTACGGAAGGACTCCGGCAGCAATTTTTGGATCCCAGGCACGTCGCACGCAGCAACCACGCAATCAAATAAGCGTTGCTCGCCCGCCGTCCCGACCCCGCCCGCCGCCCCGGCCTCCTTCCCGTCCTCCGTGTTGGCTTTCCCTGATAATACCAGGCCTTTCACACGGGAGGGTGCCCCTGTGCTGGCGTCCGTGTCGTAGACCAAGTCCTGAATGCGGCTGTTCAGGTGCAAAGTCACCCCCCGCGCTTTCAAATACGCCAAAATGGGTTCGTGTAGATAGGTGTTGGGGGAGCCCTCACACATGCGCAATACCGAGGCCTCCGACCTCACGGCAAAAAGCTGGAAGATCGTCAGCATGCACCGGGCCGAGATGTGGTCGCAATCGATAAACCCCAAGGCGTACGCAATCGGGTCCCACATCCGCGTCATGCTGCCCCGGCTCCCCCCTTTCCTCAGGAACCATTCCGAGAAAGAGATGCCGTCCAAGGCCCGGACATCCTCCATGGCCGCGTCGAAGTCGAAGAGGGCTTTCACGACGGGGCTGGTCGCCAAGGCCACGGCGTTGGCAATCTTGTCCCCGATTTCCAGTTGGGAGGTGGTGGCAAAAGCTTTCAAGCCGTTCACAGGGGCGCCGATGCCGCCGAAGCGAAAATCGAGCTCGCCGACCCTACCACCCTTATTAATGAAGGAATGGGTATGATCTTTGAGGCGAAGGGAGGACTCAAAGACCCCCAACCGTTTCATGATCCCAAAGAGATTGTAGTAGCAACCAAAGAAGACATGCAGTCCTGGAAGGGGAGGGAAGACAAAGGGAAGAAAACTTGAGCATGTAGGAAAAAGACAGCCATGGCCTTTTCCTGCAAATTGTAACTCTCCCATGGCCCGAGGATGTCTGGAACATCTTGTTGCGACACGAATGAGAACGCTACATCGTTTCTTATATTCCTCTCCTTCCCGCCTCCTCATGCTCTCCGGACTCACCCATCTCGATGTGGTTGCCGTCCTTGTCCACCCACGACCCTACTTTCCCCCCCGCAAAACGACGCGCCTCGAAAATCTCAACCTCGTGCCCTGCCTCGGACAAATCCATCGCTGTGATCAGTCCACCGAGACCTCCACCTATAATACCCACGCGCAGTCGCTCGGTGCTCGTGTCCTTCACCCTCAGATTTGCAGGGGGGCCTGACATCGCACGATCCAACACCGACAGGTCCAGAAGCTTTTCCTTATCTGAGCCACGAACTTGTTCGACAGGAAGCGTAGAAGCGGGTGCCCGTGTTGTGGAAGCTGGACTTGTCGATCTAAGGGGCTGTGAAACACGCGTCGTGTGAGGTAGGAGGAACGCAGTGGCGATGGAGTAAGTGGACTGGACAAGTGTGATGACCGCCACCAGGTCTGCGATCCTTTTCCTGAGCGCCATCACCCTCCTTCTTCTTGGGTCCAACGCTCTCTGTGTATGGTTTTGTGCAAAAAGTGTGGGTTTGAGGTCGGGTCGAACGGAAGCTGAACTTTGAAGGAGCGTGTGCGTCAGCGGGCCCTGTCTGAAAAATGCTTTCTCACAGTGTACTTATAAGCCCACCCGAGGCCAGAGACGCCATTACCCACGTGAATGAAAAGGAAGATAGTTTATTTACATGCTGGCATACCTTTGGCGTAAAAAAACTGGCTCTCTGTCAGAAAGGCAAAACGGAGGGAAAGATCGTTGCCTACGCTCCTCAAGATACCCCTCTCCGGCACAAGACGCACGGGTCATCGTTGACGCCAAAAAAGGTCTTTTTCACCCTAACGTGACCACATTTCTTCGACATTTAGATAAATAATACCTCGGCACATTTCGAAAAGGCATTATGAGAATTTAAGGGGGGTTGATTTGTCTAATGTGTTGCTAAAAATACGTTTGGAAACGCACAACGGACCGCTCTGCTGCTTTTCCTGTTGATCTGACTCGCACATGTCCTGCTGAGTTATAAATGACCAATTTTCACACTAAGGCCCGCCTTCTCGAACACAGGAAGCTCCTCTAAAAGGGTTTTTGTTCGTTCACTCACTCTAATTTACATTTTGGCCACAGCCATGCTCCTTCTTAGAGCAGCGGCCCGCCGATGTGTGACCAAGTGTCCCTCGGCCGTGCTCCAGCCCCGTGTGAACGATTCCTCCTTTATTTTGGTACCCAATCGGCCAAAAGTGGACTACATTCCTTCCTTTGAAGAATCTCGTAAAAGTCTTACGAAAATTGTCGCTACAATTGGCCCGGCCAGTGAACAATTTCCTGAGTTACAGGCCTGCGTCAAAAGCGGGTAAGTGAATGCTCGGTTCGGAGCGTGATTC